TTATACTTCATCTGTTATATTCCAGAGCAGCTAGTAGCTGTAAAGCTAACAGGCTAAATGCACCTTTAGCGCTACAGGAGGCAAGAAAACATCAAAAACATCAGCGACAAAATGGGTTAAAAACATGCTCCCTCAACACAAGTAATGTTAGGAGCAAAAAGTAATGTTATCAAAGAAAAAACTAACGTTAGCAGTTAACAAAAAGAAATTTACTGTTACTAAAAGTAACTAGAAAGAAACGTTAGCATTTAAAATGGAGATATTCGCTAACAAGTAGGTCTGAAACGATTCATCGATTAAATCGATTACTAAAATGCATCGATGCAAATTCTTTGCATCCAGATTTCGTTTTAATCCTTATAACTATACAGCACACCGTTCGCACGGACATTTATTACTGTCGCGCTTACGCTGTGAACAGGACGTGATTATGATGCCGCTGTTTGCAAAGTGGAGGACGAGAGAAAACAGCGAGGGACGAAGAAGAAAATGTGAAGTCTTGGATTATTTCAAGCTAAACAAAACAACAACTCTGTAATGTTACCGTCCGTCCAACGTAAAACCAAGTGGGTGTTTCTTAAAACCAAGAATGCAAAGAACAGACTTGTGTTCTTGGGGAGAGCGTTCTTGCTAGTCGTTCTTGGAAGAATGAACTTGCAACGTCACGAGCGCGCAGAACGCCGCTGACGGTTTGAGACGTGCGTTCTTGTTGGTATTGCGCAATACCCCCAGCGCAGATGCCAAGATCTATTTGCACATAAAAAAATTATATAAAATAAAAGCAAATAGTGTGACCACAACTCTACTGTACTAACAATGTAATGTCTAATATTATAATATTAAAAAATATTTATATTAATAATGATAATAAAGCAAAGATAGTCCCCCTTTCATACTATTTCTGAGAAGTTTCACAAGACCAGATTTTTCTGTACATCATCCAGATGTCTCATGATTTAAGATTTAAATCTTACAAAATGACTCAGAATGTAACGACAGAATAACCACCGCTGTAGGTCTTTACTCTGCCGGTGTTGCTGGACTGTCTGCTGTGTTGGCTGCAGGTCTGAGGCCTCTGTGAGCTGATCTGTCCGGCCGGCTCGTTAGCTTCCCCCCGCTGACGGTTGCGGAGCGTCATAGCTCCGAAAATGTTTGCGTACATTTTAGATTCACCATAATTTTTAGTAAAACTGTCAATATTCGACATTTACACAGCTGATTTCTCGCCTCAAACCTTCTCAGAAGTGGATTTAGTGATGAAATAACGTACGAAAATATTAAAAAACGTTCTGTTGTTGGCCCCTCTCGGCTTCTTTCAGCTCGTCGCTTGAATGCTGGGATATCTGTGCAGTCAAGTTCACTCAAGTTACCAACCGATGCATCCTGGGTAAAATGGGCGTGTCAAGAACACTTCCGGGATTTTTAACGGTTCTTGCCAAAATGCAGACTTGTATATTGGGACAGAACTTTGGCCACAAAAGAGACAGGAACACGGGTTGAGAAAGTAACCGCAACTTTAGCATTTAACTGAAA